GGATCTTATGCGTAAAATCAAATAGACCGGTTCTCGAAAACAGCGGCGCGGGAGCGGGCAACGAGCGGGCAGCGGCGCGGGAGCGGGCAGCGCACTCCTTCTTTTGCCCACAATAAATCGAGCGTTAGGAATAGAATCGAAATAAAATTGTCGCCGTTGTTCAGACATTTCGTTTGCGAATAAAAACAAATATCTCGACAACACAACCCCGAACACAACACTTCGCCGCTAAAGTGCCGCGCGAGCGCCCGCTTGTTTCGAGAACGGATCTGCGTTGCCCGCCCCGCTCCCGCGCCGCCGCCGCTCCTGCGCCGCCGCCGCTCCCGCGCTGCTGTCCGCTAAATTCGAGGCTGAGGCCTTAGAGTTACCTCAAAATGGATTCAGGATGGATGAATGCTGCAGAGTTTTTGGATTATTAGAGTATACTTTGCTCATAAGGTAACCCCACAAAAAGAAGTCTGCTGGAATGAGATTAGCGCTTCTTAGAGGCAGTGAGATTTCACCCTTGCTTAATTGTTGCATTGAAAGGATGATTAATTTTTGAGAGCGCTATACTGGATTTCAAAGCTGCAAGATTCGCAAGGTTATGACCGGAGCACTTGGTTTCATCAAGATGGGGCTGCGTGTCACACTTCAACTGAGAGCATTTAGATGGTAAGAGACATGTTCCCACAAAAAAATAATTTCAGGCAGGGGCATGGAGGTATTAACACTTTATAATCCAACAACCATGCAGCAACTGAAGCTGAGCATTCGGCAATAAATTGAAAATAGGTTTCGAGGTGATTCTGACAAACGCATTCCAAGATTTTGATGTATGTTGATCGAATGTTGTAAGCGTTAAGGAAATCTCCTGGGCGATGTAATTTAATAAAGGTAAATTAAAAAATAAATTGCATTAAATTTTCATTCAATTGAAATAGTTAAAGTTCTATAAAAATGTACAGTTTTCGTTTCCTTTAATTTTCAAAAGTGAATTTTCTTCTGGGCCACCCTGTATTACCAAGCCTTGGTCTTTCTGTTTACCTATAAGTAGTTCTTAGCTCATTATACTGGATATAGCACTTCGCATGGCTCTGTGCACACCGGTGACAAATTTTTCAGGTGAGAGAAGCTTTTCTTGCTTAGGTAAAAGGGGTTAAAAACTATCTACGATCTACTTTCAAGTCAAGAAAAGCTTAATGCTTTATCTCTTTTGTGCATAGAGTCAGAACTTATGAAAAAGATTTCATACGACGATATAATTAATGATTTTGCAAATTTAAAATCTCGCAAGAAAATAATGTAAAACTTATTTGATCTCATTGTCTGTCACCATTAACTGGATTGTTAACATGTTATATTTTAATAGAAATTGTTTGTGTTGTTTTTAAACTGTTAAGTGCAATAAAAAATATTTAACAATGTTTACTGACCACACATTATTTTGTCTGTGTTCATATACTTAGTGTAGGTATTTTTAAGTCATGCCTTTCCCCACCTTATGATTAGTAGGTACATGCTGCTGTTTTTAGGTCAACATTAAACTTCAGTACATAGCGGGTTGCAATAATAATCTAGTAACTGACAGAAATATCATTAAGTTCACAATCATACTAATAACGGGATTAAACTAACGTATTGAATTTCAAAAGTCAGTAGGGGCGGCAAAAATTGAATGGCCTACTAGCGGCAAATTTGTAAATCCGCCACTGATTTTAAGGTTAATAGTTAAAATTTTATTATTTAACACGTGAACAGTTCTAGTTGTTGGATTTAAAAAAGAATACCTTTGTAATACACTAAAACGCCAAATCAATCGTCTCATACATCATCAACAAAAGCATAACCTTCCTTCTGGTGCAGTCGGGTAAAGAGTGTTAAAGTTGAAAAATTTTACTTCTAATTAGTTTATACTAGCTGACCCGGCGAACTTTGTTCCGCCTTAATGGCAATAAATAAGCAGACTTTTTTTTTATTTCGAACGGGATAAAAAGTATCCTATGTCCTTCTCCTGGCTCTAAACCACCTCCCTGACAATTTTCAGCTAAATCGGTTCAGCCGTTCTTGAGTTATAAGTGGAGTAACTAACACGACTTTCTTTTATATTATACTAGCTGACCCGGCGAACTTTGTTCCGCCTTAATGGCAATAAATAAGCAGACTTTTTTTTTATTTCGAACGGGATAAAAAGTATCCTATGTCCTTCTCCTGGCTCTAAACTACCTCCCTGACAATTTTCAGCTAAATCGGTTCAGCCGTTCTTGAGTTATAAGCGAAGTAACTAACACGACTTTCTTTTATATATATAGATATAGATTATTGGTTAGTAAATAATTATTTTATCTAAGTACATACACTAATGTTATAATAAAGAGAAAAGATTTTTTTATTAAAATAGGAAACTGCTGGTGCTGGACTGATTTCAAAAAGTCTTTCACCATTAAAATCCTTCCTACAGTATATCTGACGAATATAGTAGGCGGTACAGACTTCCCCGGGTCAGCTAATTACTAAAACTATTAAGGGAATACATATTTTGAATAAAACATGAGCAAATAGCAAAAAACCTTTTCCCTGACAGCAAACTTATTTAGGCTGAGTTGCACCACCTAACTTTGACCGTAACTATAACCGATGTATTTTGTATGGAGTTTGACAGATTTTTGACGTTTGTTAAAGTCAAAGTAGGATGGTGCAACTCAGCCTTAGTTGCAAACTTTTAAAAGAGCAAAACACGTAACAAGTACCTATTCAAAACTGTATAAGAAATGAGATTTCACTTGGGTATTCACTTTTACCTGTATCTGGCTAGTTATTTTTCCGCTCTATTAAACATCTTCAAAGCGACTAGACATGATACCTGTTCGTTCAACTCACTAACTACCACTGTATCAATGTTTATAACGGAATTATAATATTTATAATGTCGTATGATAATCGACTGATTGATTTTGTAGGATTAATAAGGACTATGGAGTTAAGGTAAATACGTCGTTTTGAAACATTTATCTAGGTTTGGAAAAACCCATTTTGCTTGTGATACGATTGCATTAACAATTTTATAATAATATAAACATTGTATTAGATAATTTTAGCTCATTAGTGAACTCTATGTAAATAAATTACTCCAAATCAAACTGGGGGAATCACATTGGGATTTTTATTGTTTGTATTTAAATTTTTTACATTCCAATCAGGACTTTTGGGACCAAATTTTTAGAAATAGATCCAAATGTTGGTTTTGGATTAGACACAAACAATATTTAAATTAGTGATTATGCAATGCATAGTAGTCTTCAAAACACTTGAAAAAGCGAAGTTTTTCATATTTAAATTCAAATCAACGCTCTACCTCAACAATAATAATTATAATGGATTGACAAATCTGTTTTATTTTCACCTCTCACTCCTATAACAAAAGGATTAGATTTTAATAAGCAAACGGCCGATTTAAATATTGCTAATGGTAGAGATGGTGGAAAACCTAAACCCAGTAGGTACTTTTATTGATCCAAATTTTTCCCTATTGAGGTACAAACCTTTGTTTTGTATTAGACACAAACAATATTCAAATAAGTTTCTCATCTTTAAATTGATATCAACGCTCTACCTCAACAATAATAAATAATGGATTGAAAAATCTGATTTATTTTCACCTCTCGTTCATAGATTTTAATGAGCAAACAGCCGATTTAAATATTGCTAATGGTAGAGATGGTGGAAAACCTAACCTAGGTGAATACAAATTCATACGAAATGAGACATTCAATTAGAAAGAGACACAAAAAATTTTGCTATCATAAAAAAATACAAAATTTTGGAATTTCAACAATAGCAAAACGTGTAAAAAAGTTACGCGTCTTGAAATTTGTAATTTTATCAGTCCGAAGAGCGTTCTAGAGACCTTCAAAGTGTTCAGCTGTGCACTACTGCGAGGCGATAATGATAATTAAGCTACAATTAGTGTAATTGACCGTTTTTTAAGAAGGTTGGATTTCAAATTGCCTACTTTTCGAAGCGATTTTACGAGTGCGATGATACCTTTTTTGTCATAATGCTTTGGTCAGTGCATATGCACTAAAATACAATGGTTAGGTAACGTGAGGAATGTTTATGTTACCACGTTTGTTGTCAAGTACACTACATTGAACGAGTAGGTATTTCTTTCTACTGAACAATATTGACTGTTTATATTACTGATCGACTTCAAATGATCGATAATACTGCTTTTAAAGCATACAATGTTAATGACATTATGTTATTATCTTGTTATGAGATTGCTTTACTCAATGCTCGGGTTGCCAACCTTTTCGGTTATTACGCGAAAAGATTACATTTTTATGACATAAAAATTATATTACACGTTATTCTGTCGAGATGGAAATTTAATAATTTAGTATGAGATGGGTTGCTGCACATACCAAGAATCTAAATATTACGTTATGCGACACGTACCTAGCTAGGGAGAAGAGTAAACTCAGACCATACAATAGGCATAAAGGTTCGCGTTATAAATGCTTTAACATACACACAACAGAACACAGATCGTCGGTAGCTATGTACACTGCATGTATGTGTATCGCGCACATACGTCGTGTGCGCAATACACACACGCGCGGCCGTCAATAAGACCACGTCAAAGTTTGTTTGTATTTTTACAATTCTTCAAGTTTTACGTCTCAAACACAGCGTGATACCTCTCGTGGTATCCTCTACTGGACAATCAACACGCCTTTTAAAGTTTACATCAAAGAAATGACAGAACAAGTGGATAAACGGACAGCGAGTATCGTAAATCAACCGGGGTCATACTTACAGATAACGTTTCTCGGATTCAACGGTCGAAGTTAACTGCACAAAATGTTATCCGTCAACAAAAACACAAGAGACGTGATGCAGGCGTGCATACACTGAGGCCGTTAACCCGGCTCCGGCGGGCTGCGTTTCGAAAACTTCGCGGTGAAGCGTTTAGAGAATATTCAAAAATAGACCGACAGAGTCGTATAAACGCGCGACAGTGCACGTACAAACGATGGCACGGTGTACTCCACGATACGGCTCGAAATTCGAAGCGAGAGTGACGCGCGACAATCGAATCCGCCCGAAATTGAGTTGAAAAGTTTCCAGTGCACAAAGTTGGGATCGCGAGTCGGGGCTCGGCGCGACAGGGACGCGGCAGCCTCGCAGCGCTCGGAACACGACTGGCGGCTGGCGGCCCGTGGCGCCGCGCCGCGCGCCGCGCCTCGCGACAGGAACACCCACACACGCGCGCCGCGAACTCGCGCTCACGAGCCCACCACGCACACCAACACCCTCGCTAACTGATAAACAGCATAAAAACACAACACCCCGCGACTGCACACATCGTTTTCCTGTTGCATTAGATACAGAAGCAGAAACGGGTGATTACGGAACTCGCACACGATTCAGAAGAACTCGACTTGACACATACTGCAGGAATCTAGATAATGGGCGAGCAGTTGCAAATTGCCTTAATCTGTTTCGCGCTTCGGGCGATCCTTTAGTTCGCAGTTTCAAGCGCGTCTTATCAAAACACTTCCAGTCATGAGCAAGAGCGAACATAAACATCTAGAATACATGCGAGAAATGGAATGGTAGCGTTTGTAGAGTTAGAAAACGCAGACGCTACACACCCACGTAGTGTGAAATCATATTATGACACAGACAGGAATACAATAATTTTATCAACAGCAGACGCGATAGGAGACGGACACAAGTAATGAATGAACTTACAGAAGCCAACAAAACAACACTGCACAAATAGAAGTCACTCACACAAGAGCAACGTTGTTCGATAATGATTAAGAGCAGTTGGTTTTATTACAAAAGCCCTAATGAAATGATAAGGAACTGATTTCGCAGTTACACAATTGTGATTGCCTGCGTGTGATAATATAGTTGTGATTCGATCATTATAGGTAGAGTGATGTTGATATTTCGTAATGAATAAAAGTCCATGTGATTGTCGAACTTTGACCATAGAAACTAAAGTATCAACAACTGTTGCTTTGTCTTCTGATTACTTTTCGTGTAGACACCAGGATGAATATTCACCGTCTAATCTTAAAATACTCACATATGTGAAACCGTTTATTTTTTCGACTCGTGTGGAAATTACCTGAAACCAAACATGATTATTTAGCGCTTTTTTCACTCGCAGTTTTTATTGTTTCATAAACAATAACAGAATCACAGTACACTTCAAAGTTTTGGGAGAATTCCTTAGATCTTGGATAGTCATTTGTTTGTAGTGACGTCACTGATCCCTGACATGCATTCGTCCAGTTTATTCGTGAAACTTTCCACAGCTTTCAAATAAAATGTTGAAGAAAGGTTTATTGAGCCCTTGGGAATTGTGACGACTCCTGCTAGGATACTAACAAACAGACTTTTGTGTTTTAGTAATTTTATTTCTCTTTTATTCTTTCTCTATTAAATACGAGTCACTACTATCCTTTGATTTAGTTAGTTATTTATTTTATTTATGTTGATATATTCTGATTTTTTAAAATATGTAAAATCCTATCATACTTTGGAAACCTGCCGACTGATCTATTAGGTAAATCATTAACTCCGCCCATGGTGAGTGTAAAATTTTCATTGTGCAATAAAGTTTTAACAAAATCAAGAGTTTTGTAAATAGTCAAAACGTTATCCTTGAAAATCTTACGAAGCGCCATCCACTGTCTAAGCAAAGCTTGTACTGTCTATAACAGTCTGGTAATCCGATATCATACCACATAGAAACATGCAGAACAGTACAAACGTACGTCTGTGTGCTACAAACGTTTCTATTGTTTGTGTGAAAAATCCAAAATTTTCATTTTCTAAAACTCCATGTATAGTTACTGTCTTCAAATTATTTTTAAATGACAGGGTTCAAAGAGTGCACATTCAAAAACGTAAAGTTACCTAACACATATTTCAACACGTGCAGTATAAACGATATTTTGGTTAAATAAACGATAATATACAGCATACTTTATTGAAATAGACTATTGTCATCAACATTCAAATATTTACATCCATTCCAGCTATGAAAACATTTTTCTGGACATCCATTTACCGTGTCCCAAGCAGGAGGATACAATAACCTTCGATCAAACTTATACTCCTACACACGTTCCAACAAAAAGAAAAAGGCATTTGGCGGGCCACTATTTTTGGAATCCGCGAAACTCACATGGCCCTTTTCATAGAACTCTCAAAACGAACACTAATCGTGTAGGATGTGGGCGTTACATTGCTGGTGTCAGACTTTACGAGCCAGTAGACATGGCTGGCGTGTCAACTTCAGAGAGTCAAGTTGAGTCAAGTCTGCAACGCCCTATCCAAAGTGGAAACCACCAAAGAATTTAATTTTTACTACATCGCCTGTCCCTCCTGAGAACCAAACCTAAAATCTCTTGAACCCCTCCAAATTGTAGGTAATATTTGACTAGCTTTCTCATTGTCATGCAATTAACCTTAAAATTAATTATTCAAATACTTATGCTATTTATAAGTGGTGAATAGAGCCTCAAGCAAAATAGCTCTTGCTTTTAAGACTAGTCAACAGAGAGAAAATTCGCATTGCATGGCGATAGCGTGGGCGTTTTTCCATTAGCTGGCAGGTATGGTTCAGCAAAGATGGACTTGGAAGTGTAGAAAATTTATGTGTACCCGCTATTCCCTGGCGATGATGGTGGCCAAGTTTCAGGCAAATAATTTGACCTGCCTGATGGTAGTCACCAACGGTAAAAACTTGCTGAACTGATATAAAGTACGTAAACTCAACAATACATCATTGGGAATTTGGGAAGTATAGGACCGCTACATGATCTTGATAACAATTGCATTCATACTTGGCAAGAATTGCCGATACTTAAAAAACAATAAAATTATGCCTTTTTCTACGGAAAAAGAAAGAACTATTTTCATCCCTGATTGGGCAATTTTGTGGTCTATTGTAGCTAGAGAATGTCATTATAAACTTTATTCTTGCTCTTCTGACACCTTAAATCTGAATATAATACCACTAGCACAAAAAAAGGTTTATTTGAAAGAATTGGGTTCCAAATTCTTTATACCTACTACATATGAAGTTGGACCAGATGTCAAAGCAAAATGTATTCATTCAGGATCGCTTCCGCCTCGATTCTCTGTAGAGCACAGTAGCTAGAACCATTATCGATTCATAATGATTCTAGCTACGACTACATTAGGAATAAGGGCAATATAAAAGAAAAACGGTAGGATCGCTTTACCGCTGTACAAAAAGGGTGTAATTTGACACATTTTATTGTGTTTGCTTCCAAATAATCAATGTTATACATTACAGAACGAAGCTGAAAACTCGATCGGATTCAAGCTCCAGCACTGATTGAGGCTTTTGATTGGTTGACCTTCAATAATTAGGCCAACCATGTCAGGAATTAGATTTGGTTAGGTATCAAATTATGTATTCATTCATTTAACCTTTCTACAGAATACCAGCGTTCTAGATTCTAACCTAGCGCATGACACATGCTGGGTGATTGCCCTTCTGGTTCAAAATTAAAAACAAGCACAAGTAAACATCTGTTTTTCTGATTATTTTGGACTTAATAAACAATTTTTCTTTCTCTCATTCCAGATTTTTCATCAGTGGTGCTTGTTTGCTAAGCTTGCGATCAGTGGTGGTCAATGGAAAAACCACTGTTGAACCCCTGTCATTTACTCCAGATTATGTCTCCCGCATAACAAAAGATACGGTCCCACTGCATCATTCTTCATTGTGCTTTAAGTCTTATATTGACGACTATTTGACATTCACGAAGTGTAATTTTAACGCGAAACATTTGGAGCAGCCAAATGTACGCGGTCGGAAAACTAACACATTGATCAAATCATGGAGCAACACCTGTTTGGAGTTGACATGTTTAAATTAACCTGAAGTCTTTCCAAAACGATCTGACCCGACGTTTCTTGAAGCAAGATTAATAAATACTTACATATTTCATATTATTATCATGTACCACCTTGCATGTAAACTTATCAGCAAAGTGGTCAAATATTTTTTCGAAATAACAGTCGAAGCAGCTACTCATTCATTACTGCACTATGATCAGACTCTACACATTTGTTACAAAATAGCATCTATTAGAATTACATAAGATACAGATCCGAATATCGTTCTTTGCTTGCTGTTTACTATAATAAAGATTAGTAAATGTCTTAAAAAATATGTTGGCTAATGTGATAGATAGTTCTAAGCGTCTACTACTGAACAACAAAACCGATGTTTTTTGTTAAAACTTTTTTTCTTTCTTTACCTCAGTAGCAGGTACGAATACCTATTCAATACAATAGGGTTAGGAGAATCCTAACGAATTTACGACTAGGGAACCTAGACTTCTGGAATTGAAAGAAATAGGATTGGTTAACTATTTTATTTTGCTTTGAACTGTGAATAACTTCTAATAAAAACTTTGTCTAACCATTTCTTTATTAGTTTTTTTCCAATACACGAAAAGTTTAATTTTGCAGAAAAAACATCGAATATTTTTCGAAATCAGGCGCATACATAAATTAACCACACCAATTCCATTACATTGAATAAATAAAAGATACATTTTAAATTAAAACTCTACTAATATTTTTGTCCCCCACCGAATTATAGTTCGTCTGTTAAACTGATTTTTGAACACGATTTTAAATAAACACACATTTTAGTATCAAAGAAATAATCTACAGCGGAAAATTTTAAATGATTCTCATCAGATTGTACGTAGTAACAAAAGCGTATCACAAGACAAAGCATTCAAAGGCGCGAATGGTTGAGACCAAAGCCTTTATTTTAGTTCACAGTGATTTTTTCAACAAATATTTCCATTAAAACGAGCGAACAAAGTCATTGAACTAAAGCACAATGCAAAAGATTTTCATAAGACTACAGGAATATGATTAAATACAAAAAATATGTTTTAATAAGTGGCCAAAATGGAGTTCCTAACAGTTATTAGTTGAGCAAAGTTCAGCAGTATTCCTTGAATATTTAGTTCATAGTTGAGTCAAAACAATAATAATATGTTCTTGTTCAATTCACCTTGGATATGAAGTTCACTCCTAATATTTTCTTTATAGTAAGAGCTATATTGTATGGTCTAAATCTCCTTCTATTAGCCACGAGTGGTATGATTGTGGAGTGGACAAAGTCTCTTTTTCCTACTGTACCTATGTATTACGAGCAGAGTCCATACCAGCTTGCTGCATTAAACTTTAGTGTAACTTCCAATTCCAAATCCACAGCCGCATAGCAACCTATGCCAATTCTCAATTTACTC